TATTGTGGGTCCTGATGGTTTCACTATCAAAATTTTTCAAAAAGTTTGAACATTATTAAAAATGATTTGGAGGCTGTTTTAGATTTTTTTATGAGTAACCCTTATCCCAAGTATTTTTCTAATATTGCTGCTATTGTTCTGGTACCTAAAAGAGAAGGTATTAATTACTGGGATGACTTCAGGCCTATTAGCATATGCTCTTTTTTTAATAAACTGATTTCTAAAATCATTATGGGGAGATTGACTTTGAGGCTTCCTAAAATTATTTCCCTTGGGCAAACTAATTTTGTTAAAGGTCATTCTATTTTCGATAACATTCTTTTGGCTCAAAAATTGGTGCATGATATTCACAAGTCCGTTTATGGTGGTAATATGGTTATTAAGATTGATATTACCAAAGCATATGACAATCTAAATTGGAACTTTCTTTATACTATTCTTGCCCAGTTCAGTTTTAATGAGTTTATTAATCTGGTGAAGAATAGTATTAATAATTTTAATTTTTCTGTTATCATTAATGGGATTAGTCATGGTTTCTTTACTTCTACTCAGGTTGTTAGACAATGAGACCCCTTGTCTCCTGCCCTTTTTATAAATGTTATGGAATATCTTTCCAGAGGTCTGGAGAAGCTTTATATTTTACATCCTTTTCTTAATTTTTGTATCTATAGGGGTTTTCCATACTCTTATCTTAGTTTTGTTAATGATTTCATTACTTTTACTATTTGTTCCATTAAAATGTTGAGTATTCTCTTCAAGTTCCTCTACCAGTTCCAACAATTTAGTGGTTTACAGATTAACAATAACAAAAGTGGCTTTATTACACGTAAGTCCATTTGTTCTCAATGTATTAATAAAATTCATGAAAAATCTTGGTATATCTCACATGTCTTTGCCGATCACTTATTTGGGTACCCCTCTCTACAAGGGTAAGAGAAAATCTCACCTTTTTTATGGGACCATCATGGTTATGCAAAAAAAAAAAAAACTTAAAACTTGGGCTTTCAATTTCTTATCCTTTGGTGGGAGACTTATTTTAATTAAAAGTGTTCTTTCTGTTTTGCCTATTTTTTTATTACATACTTTAAATCCCATTATTTTTGTTTGTAATAGAATTGAGAAGTTAATCAACAAGTTTTGTTGGGGGGGGATTAAAAATGGCAAATCTGCCATTCTCCGAGCTTCTTAGAAGAAGTGTTGTTGTGATTTTGATGAAGGTGAGCTAGGCTGTAAGAATTTGTCTGATGTGACTAAAGATTTTTCCAATAAGCTTTGGTTCAAATTTAGATCTAGTAAAAGCTTATGGGCTAATTTCTTATATAACAAATATTGTGGCAATAATCATCCTCTTTTATGTGTTCCTAAAAAGGGGATTCTTCCATATGGAAAAGGCTTTGTAGCATTAATTGGGAGATGGAGAAATTCTTTCAGTGGGGGTATTGGTGGTGGTGATGTTTTTTTTTTTTTTTGCAAGATCAGTGGATTGGCAATTATTCCAATGATAATATATTAAATACTAGATCTATTTCCCCTTTGTTAATTAAAAGCTTTATTTATGATGGGAAGTGGAATGTCGAGATGTTGAAGGATGTTGTTCCTGATAATATTCTTAACAATATTGTTAATAATCCTCTGCAGGTTGACACGGATGATTGTATCCTTTTTTGCAAAGGCTCATGATGTAATTTTGCTTTTAAAAAAGCTCAGCATTTAATTAAAGATGATAGATAGGCTAACCCTCTTTTTTCGGCTATTTGACATAATTTGATTTTCATTTCTAGCTTATTCTATTCTAACTTGGAGAGTGATTCACAACTTTATTTCTGTTGACAGCATTCTTATTAAAAGAGGTTTTAATGTTGTTTCAAAATGTCAATGTTGTTATCATGTGGAAACTCTTAAACATGTTTTGGTTAATGGGCCTATTGCTATTAAAGTTTGGCTTCATTTTGAAGAGCTTTTTAACTTGAACATTTCTCATGATTACAAATAAATTATTGATATTATTAAAGTTTGGTTTGTTAAGTCTAAAGGTCATATTAGAAATATTCTCCCCAATATTATCATTTGGTACCTTTGGAAAAGTAGAAATGATGTCAAACATGATGGGATAACTATGAATGCGAAGCATATCATCTTTAATATTAAAGAGAAAATCATGTATCTCCATGTTGCTAAGCTCATTAAACATGAGAATTTTAAAGGTTGATTTTTTGTTGTTGTTCATTTTGGTATTCAGAATATTAATTTTGCCAATAGGAGAAGGGAAAGGGTTATCTATTGGTATAAACCTTCTCTTGGTTGGTTCAAGCTTAATATGGATGGGTCCTTTCATGGGAATGTGGCTGGTTGTAGGGGTATTGTGAGAGATCATCTTGGTACAGTGATTAAGGGTTTTACTGGTCTTGTTTATGTTTCCACTGCCTTTATGGCTGAGCTTTATGCACTTAATTATGGCATCAATATGTGTATTAAATTAGGTCTTAATAATATTTGTATTGAGGTTGATGTTATGCTTATTATACACTACATCAATAGCTCTCATTTATTTAATGCTGATAAATTCTATCTGATCAGAAATATTAAACAAGGCTTATCTTATCTAAATTACAATATTTCACTCATCTTGCGTGAAGGTAATATGTGTGCTGATGCTCGTGCTAAAATTGGTTTCACTTCTCTCCAATTCAGCGAATTTCAAGAGGCTCATATCCCTAAAACTATTAAAGGATTGGTGGTCTTGGATAGTACTGGTTTACCTTATCTCAGGACTCATTAATGTGGGGTAGCTCTTTGCAACTGCTTTGGTGGTTTTTGAACTTGGTGGCCATTTGTTTAGTGGCTTGCATGGTTTCTTCTTCCTCGTATAGGGGATTTGGTGAGGGGTCATTTTCATGGCGTGTACTCTATGGCTGTTGTTGTTGGTTTCCTCTTTTTCTCATGACCTGCTTGTTTTCTCATAGGTTATGTTTATTTTGATATCATTATCCTATAATTTCTATACTGACAACTCTATTCTGATGCCTATGCTATATGGTATGCCTCTCGGTTTTTATCCCTTGCAGCTATTCTATTTGCATACCACTAAATTAAGTTGTCAGTCCGTCGTGTTTAGTATTCTGGATGGTATAGTTACAAGCCCTGTTAATGGTTGCTCTTCCGTTTTCCGGTGCAACTCTTTTAAGCAAATTATTGTTGAACTTATAATTGGGATGTTGATTCTTCTTTCCGGCGACAATTTTGAGCTAAAAGTTTATTCAGTGCCTCTTATTTTTTGGGTGCTGGCTGCTAACCGTGCTAGTCAAATTTTTTGCTTTTTCATTGTAATTTTGCTTAGAATGGACCACTGGCTCATAGGTTTTTTTTGGACTTTTTTTGTAGCTCTTTTGAGCAGTAGGGGGGCAAGAGGTCTCTTTAAAGACCCTGTATCTATTTTTGAATATTAACAAGTAGGCCAGTGAGTGGGTTTTAACCCCAAAAAAAAAAAGTGACTTCCTTCATATATGACCAGTTTTTATCAGAGAGATTCATGCCCTCGCAAATCCCACTGAATGGCTCTAAACCCTCAATGATACCATTTGATCACCTATCATCTTCTTTTTAGATATTTGCCTGGCATTTATCCTTCATATCTATTCTCAGGACAAAAAAAAAGAAACACTAAAAAATCCTCTTCATAAAGAGGCTATGAATGCCAAGACGAGTGCTATACTAAGACACCATACGTGGGATTACTTGTTGGCGGGTCTTCGCATTCAAATTTAATCATGATGGATCCATCCATCAATACAAAGCTTGGCTGGTTGCCAAGTATTTACCTAGGTCAATGAGGTAGCCTATATTGCCAACTTCACTCCAGTTTTAAGACTTTACTCCATCAGAACTCTCCTCAATGTGGCCATCAATCAAGATTAGTTAGACTTTGCTACAAATAGATATGATTTCCTATACAGAAGAATGGGGTATGGTTAGGTATATAACTTCTACAAGGATTGTTAGTTGAAATGGAGAATTGTCTATCACATGATAAGAAGAAATCGCAAAGACTTGTGTGTAAATTTAAAAAAATCATAACTAGATCAGCAATAATGCATGTATTTGTGTGTTAAAAAGTAATTAGCATCGTAATTGAGCATGGCATGAATGATAATATTAAAATGAATATGTAACAAAACTATGAAGAATAAATTAAGGAATGATTATATTAGAGGGGCAATTAGAGTGAAAACAATTAGCAAAAATAAATTAAGAATAGACTTGCGTGATTTGATCATGTACAACCAAGGAATATAAAATACATCTTTAGATGAGTAAATAAAATTAGTGTCAAGAAATTAGGAAGTAAACAAAATTAGTGTCAAGAAATTAGGAAGGAGAAGAGGCGAACATAAAATTTGGATAAAAGTTGATCAAAATAATTTCTGAAGAATGGATTTAGCACCTTAGATGGTACTTAGCATGAATAAATGAAAATTGAGAATTTAGAAGGCCAACAATAAATAGTAAGGATACGATGAATTATGATGACAAAAACATTAAATTTCAATAGGAATACTGGTACATTCAAATTTCAGGAAAATGAGTGCTAGTACATGATGTAAATCTTGCTTTTTTTGTTTTCAAAATCCTCACAAACTACATCCCACTTCACAAGAGTCAAGACCATCCAAAATTCCAGATCCATTTCACATGTCATACCCTTATGGTGTTTATGATTCCTAGCACTTGCTATGGAAGGTATACCTCAATATATGAAATAAGAAACTCCAGTGGCCTGTTGATGATAAAGCAAAGATACCTTAAGATAATCATAAAACCCAAAGTATAATAAACAACCTAATTAAGTTATGCTGGCTAAAAAAAAAAAAGAAAGGATTTAAAAAAAGCATGAATCAGTTCTTATAATTTCATGTCAGAAGCTGTAGACCAATATAGAAGATGAGAAAGAATTTTAGTACTATGGCGCATGCCCAATTAAGCATTGAGAAAAGTTACAGTACCTGATAAAACTGCTGAGGTGGTGGCAGATTTGGTAGTGGCGGTTGCCCTTGTGGGAAAGAAGTCGGAGGTAAGCTACCGGACTGAATTTCAGAAGAAAATTATTAATCCGCCTGAATTCATAAATTCTTCAGCATAGAGCTAATTAAACACTTGAAAGACACCAACAAGTCACTGTTGGCTAACTTACATGAAACAAAGGTGGAGACAAAAGATGCTGAGGTGCGCTTGATGGTGGAAAACCAAGGCCGTGTGGCATCTGTGAGGGTAACTGATGTGAGAAAGGTTGCATAGGAGGCCTAGGCTGCTGTGGAAGGGGTGGTTGAAGTGGCTGGTGAAACATTCCAGGAGTCTGTAAAGATGGCTGTGGTTGGCTAGATACCATGGGCACGTGGGATTGAAGCATTGGGAAATGAGAATGAGGATGAGGGGGGTGGGAAAGGTTACGAATCTGAGAAGAATGGGGAGGCAGGCCATGAGGACCACTGAAAAACCCCTTAGCTTGCTGTGCTAAATGTGCAGGACTTGAAATCATTTGCTGAGACTGATAATTCCCTGGTGGTGGAACAGAAGCAGGAGGGATGGAAATGGATGGGTATTGGGGTTGTTGCTGCTTGGCTGGGACTGAAGGTTGTGAATTTTTTTGAACCTGTAATCCAGGTTGAGCTGACAATGGTTGACCAGTCTGAATAATTGTCTTGTGTCCTGCCTGTACTGATTGGGGCAAGATTTGCTGCTGAACATTAGGCATCTACAAAAAAATTCAGAATTAATCTTTTTCTATAAGAAAAACTAAAATAATAGCCAGGCGAAATAAAGTAACGGAATTACCACTTGTGGAGGTTGCACCATTCCAAGCATAATTTGCGCCTAAAAGATGAAGAAGCAATAGATTAGTTAATTTTTCATTTGCAATTAATTACTAGAATTGATCTAGAATCTTTGAAGTATTAAATTACAAATTCCATTTGAAGAAAAGGCTACAAATGAACTTTTAGAAGAGAAAAAAGTTGCCGCAAATATATTGACAAAAATTGTTGAACATGAAGAATTTAAAATTTATAAAAAAAAAAAAAAACACGAGTGGAAAACAATCAAGGGACATTAATTTTTGACATGAGACTAAATCTATGGTTGCCATAATAGCAATAGATTTGTTGGAAAAATAAAAGCTTTGGAATAAAGTAATTAAGGTATTTGTGGTCATGTGTGAACCCAAATCTATATTAAGTTCATGTGAGAACTCCAATCTATATTACAATATTCTGACAGTATACCATGTAAGTTTTATGATAAATCCACACTAACGACAGTGTTGATTCCAAATAGTTATTTTTATCATATCTAAGCTATCACCTATGCTGACTATTTAGAGAAGGAATTTGTACTTTTTTTTTATTATCATAATTCCTAATTATTGAGGATATTTTATTTTCAATATTGTTTGCTTATCTTACTTGTATCTAGGCCCAAATATCCTTATAATAAGATGACAATTATGTTGAGCCGTAGTCTTTCATAATTCTCTCCCTCAAACATGATATTAAAGAGATAAGATCGTCCAAATTTTCTCTTATCACAGTGCTCAGTTTAGCTTGCATTGCTGCCTACCACACACACCAACCTTCATAACACCTATTGCAATATTGTGAGTGTCCTCTCTGTAACACCCAAGGTTGTGAAAATTGGACCGGACAACGAACCGGAAGGAGAGGTTCACGGTTCAACTGATCGAACTGGGGTCGAACCAGATGACGTAATAAATAATAATATTATTAAAAATTAAAAATTTTAATATAATATAATATAAGTATATGAGCATTTAATAATATGTATAAAATTTTAAAATATATAATAAAATTTTATACATATGAATATCATTTAAGAATAATATATTTATTTTAAGAATAATATTTAATACAATATATAAATCTATAATATTAAATTTATTATCATAATATAATATAAATAATTAAATATATGAGCATATTAAGTAATATTTAAATTTAAATATATATATATATATATATAAAAAATTATAAATATAAATATCATTTAAGAATAATATAATTATATATATTATAAGAATAATATTTAATATTAATATAGTAATTTATAATAATAACATTTTATATTATAATTCTATAGTATATATATATATATATATATATAGTAAATTATTAATGCATATTGCCCAAATTTGTAGCCCAACTAAGCCCAAATTTGAAGTCCAACTAGCTCAAATAAGCCCAAATTCACATTCTAAATTATTCATGCAACTTTTTTAATCTCACGCCATAGGAGGAGTTTGAGAATGTTGCTTTGAACCCTTTATAAAGTGTGAAGTACACTCTTTTTGCTAAACAAATTATGTTAGGTATTTAAAATAACTTGCATATAATATGGTGAAATTAATCATCATATTTAATAAAAGTATTTTAAAAAGTTAAAAGAATTTAATAAACTAAATATAATTATTTAAAATTTAATATAAAACAAAATTAATTTTTTTTAAAAACTGGCCTGTTCTTTCCAACCCGGATCGGTTCAGCGGTTCACCGGTTGAACCGTCAATTCAATCCGATTTGATCATGTCTGATGCAGAGCCGGTTCTGTACGCTAGATCGGATCGGCCATCAGACCGGTTCACGGTTGAACCGGTTGAACCAACCGGTCCGGTTGGGTTTTCAAACAGTGGTAACACCACTGTCTGAAATTCAAATAATTGATGTAATTTAAAATGAAAATTGGGTTTAATCTTGATTGAGTTGGTAATTATAAATTTTATAATGCTTCATGTACCCAAAATAAGCTAAGAATTGAAAGGGGGAAGAAAAACCATAATTAGCCATAATCTATGAGGCAAGGACAAGGACACGGGACAACGGCTTTTTTGAAAATATAGGACATGGGTACAACACGGACTGTATCATATTTTTTATATAGGTGTATAGAACTAATGTAATATCATATTAGAAATGACAAATAATAATAACTGAATTGCATGATAACTTGTCTAGCTTATAATATAAAATGTTTAGTACAAAATGTCTAGTTACAACCACGAAACTATAAGCAAATAACCATTTATTACAAATCAAGCATTCAAGCTTCAACACTAGGATTAAGCTTCAGAGGTTTGTTTTGGCCTTCAATATCATCATCATTGAATATCATTGGCTTCCAACTCTGATTCATCAAAAGAAAGATTTGTAATAGTTCATTGGAATATATAATAAAAGTTTATTCTTCTTTGTATCTATTTACTTCTCTAGTTCGCTAGTTCTCTCCAATAACCTTTAATCTAAATCAAAAAGAATGTATCTATTTACTTCTATACTTCTCTAGTTCTCTAGTTTTTCTCCCATAATAAGTTCATTGGATATCATATTAATTAATCTTTATTCTATTAATTTTAAATCTTTTATATTCTAAATATTTCTATATCATTCTAGCTTTTCAACCTATTTAACAAATCCCATCAACTAGAATTACAATAAGGCATGCACATAAAAGTCTTCCAGACATACTCAAAATTCCTCTTTATTCCATATCACTAAAAATTGCAAACGCAGGTCAGGCATAAAGGTTTTTAATAATCATTACTACCTCTAAAAAAAAATAATGATTCATTCTCTAATAATCATGCCTTTTAAAAATCGAAGTGCAAATGTGATGTTTTATTTGATTTAATAAATATAAAAAAATTCAAAAAAAAAAATTTAAATTTTATAATTTAATATAATTTTATCATAAAAAATAGGATACGCGTGTCCAATACATGTCACAGTCGTGTCGAGTTAAATTTAAACATTATTTTAATCGGACACGTGTCTGTGACACGTGTCTGTCGTGTCCGACACATGTCTCTGCCATGTCCGACACGTGTTCAAGCCGTGTCGAGCACGTGTCCATGTCCGACACTGCATTCTCTCTTCAAGAGGTGTGTCGGTGCATCATAGGCCAAAATAGCCTTGGGGCACTACGAAATTGGGAAGGGTGGCGACGCAATATTGAGCTATTTGTTTGAGAGTGAGATTTGAGGTAGCATTGCCGCAATGGGTAGTGGAATAGTGGCACTAGGTAGCGTCACCGAAGTGCTCAACTTCATTTAAGAAGGTCTGGGAGGATCTGAAATATATGATTGCGTGCAACGGCACTCGGAAAGTGAGCACCACGATGCCAAGTAAATATATATATATATATATATATATAATTTGTAAATCTATTTCTCCACCCCTTACCCAGCCAATTGTCGAAGAAGAGAGGAAGGGAGAAAATGGGACAAAGAGTGAATTTGGAGGCCAAAGCTCAGGTAATGTCCGTTGGGCCAATTAAGAATTTTTTAGAGCACGAGGCAGACTTTTGAGCTCATATATATAATTTCAATTCCAACAATTCTATAAAAATATCTAAATTAAAATGTATTCTATTTCTCCACCCCTTACCCAGCCAATTGTCGAAGAAGAGAGGAAGGGAGAAAATGGGACAAAGAGTGAATTTGGAGGCCAAAGCTCAGGTAATGTCCGTTGGGCCAATTAAGAATTTTTTAGAGCACGAGGCAGACTTTTGAGCTCATATATATAATTTCAATTCCAACAATTCTATAAAAATATCTAAATTAAAATATATTTTTTCTCAGGTTTTATGACGTTTTCACCGTATAACTTTAGTATATTATTGAATGCTTTATTATGAATATTTTTGCTATAAAAAGTCCAATTTGTACTAGTTGGATTTTTTATCTGAATTCTGTGTGTATTGAAACAATAAGGCAATTTTAGCTTTCATAATAGTTTCATAAATAACTTAAAATGTTGTTCAAAATATTCCTTTGATATTTTAATTGGAATAGAAAAAATCTAGTGGGTATGCTTTTATATAAACAATATGAATTTCTATAGGCAATTTCCAGTATTCCACGCATCATTATAATTACCTATTGAAGTTATAATTACTTACTATTGCATTCAAATTACATGACACATGACATGACATTGGAGGAGCTCTAAATTCTAAAATATGATAAGTGCACTTTATAAAAAGATAGAAAGACCCTATATGTTATAATCGGTTCAGTTTGGTTTAGTACAAAAATGATTTTTAAGATGGATAAAACTAACCATATGACTGGTTCAAGGTTGAATGGGGCAAACTGACACAACCTAGCTGATTTCCAAAACTATGTTCTTTAGTTATAATGATAAGAAATCTCATCCTATTGACCTTAGTTTTCCATGATAAACTCCATTGATCTAGGACCCATTTAAACTTCAACAAAAAATTTATTATCTTAATTATAGGATTAATAGATAATAAACAACTTATTCAAACCTATTACTCTTTTGAAGTTTAGTATACCTACCCTTTTGGCCTTAATGGCTTCAACTCCTTGCATTAGTGAACTCAAATCCTCATACAAGTCTCTAAATATCCTTAACATGGACCGCAAAGTTTTAAGCTATTTCCTAGGGCTAATTCGCTACCATCAGGGAAAATTAAATAATTCCTAAAACCTCCTTTCCTTGGGTTAGAACTAAGCTAGCTATAGGATAGGACAATTCCATTTGGATTTGTATTAATGATCAACTGAACTCTTCTTATCTTACCCTAGCTCAATCAAACTAAAATTGGTTAAGTAATAGGCTTTCCAAACCTATTGAGCTCAACTAAATTACTTCGAACAAATGTTTAACCACTCTTTAGTCCAATTAGGGTGGTCAATTGAAACTATAACTTCATGAACCTCCAATTAGCCAACTAAATTGATTGATCGGGATCTAATCTTTAAGAATCTTAGCTAACCTTCAAATATGTTTTTCCTTGCTTAAACTAAATGGTTGGTCCATTTGAAACCAAGCTCAAAAGAC